GGTGTCATAGGGTCAAGCATAAAATACTGGTCTTTATATGCCTTTACCGGTTCCTACTGACATTTGGCAAGATTTATGGACTCTGTGCTGGGACTTCCTCGAACCCAAAGTGGTGTCGATTCTGTGTTTGTTGTGGTTGACAGGTTCTCTAAGATGGCACACTTTATAGCTTGTAGAAAGACTTTTGACGTTGCTCACATAGCCAAACTGTTTTTCAAGGAGGTTGTGCGTTTGTATGGTGTACCCAAAACTATTACATTTGATCGTGACACCAAATTTTTTAGTCACTTCTGGATTATGTTATGGAAGCTCTTTGGTACTACCTTGAAACGTAGCAGTACAGCGCATCCACAAACCGATGGCTAGATGGAGGTGACTAATAGAACGCTTGGCAACATGGTTCGAAATGTTTGTGCTGATAAGTCAAACAAGTGGGATAATGCCTTGCCTCAAGTGGAGTTTGCTTACAACAACGCTATTCATAATGCCACAGGAAAGTCCCATTTGTCTTTGGTTTATACTTCAGTTCCTAACCATGTCGTTGACTTGGTCAAACTTCCCAAAGCCTATGTAGTTAGCGTAGGCGCTCAACATATGGCTAAAAATGTTATAGAGGTTAAAGAAGAAGTGCGAGATAAGCTGGAAAAAACCAATGCTAGGTACAAGTTGTTGTAAACAAGCATAAGTGTGCTAAGGTTTTATATAAGGGAGATTATGTGATGGTGTATCTTAGAAATGAGCGATTCCCTATTGGAACCTACAACAAGCTGAAGCTACGCAAGTATGGACCATATAAGATTTTGAAGAAGATCAATGACAATGCTTATGTTGTTAACATGCCAGCATCTATGGGAATTTAGAGCACTTTCAATGTTATAGATTTGTTTGAATACCATGAAGATGAAGGGTTCTATCCTGAAGATAACTCGGGGGCGAGTTCTTCCGAAGTGATAAGTCTGACGTAGAACGTTTAGCAGAGGAAATAAGTCATGAGTTACACACTATGGTTTAAAATAACATTCAATATGTATAATTAATCTGGTATATTACAAATAGAATAAATAGGCAATGTAAGTGTTGCTCTAAGGATCATCTTTTTTATTCTAGATTAATCAATATAGTCTTTGAGAATTCTCTCACTTTTTCTGGTGAATTCCAAATGAATCATTAAGGGTGAACGTGAGGATCCCTCTATTTATCTTCTTCCTGCATCACTTTTGTTCTTCAACTAATAATAGCCAGACCTTAGATTGATTTTCGAGAAAACACAAGCACCATGTAGCTAATAAAAAAGATCATCGATACGAGGCAATGGATAACGGTTTGTAATCGTCACACGATTCAACTGTTTGTAATCGATACATAGCCTCAAAGTTCCGTCTTTCTTCCCCTCAAACAAGATTGGAGCTCCCCAAGGGGAAATGCTCGACTAAATAAAACCCTTATCAACAAGTTCTTGCAACTGGGTTTTTAATTCCCTTAACTTTACATGAGCCATACGATAAGGAGTTAGAGAAATAGATGGAATTAGGTCGATGGTGAACTCTACTTCACGATCTGGTGGTAGGCCAGGTAAATCGTCGAGAAAAACATCAGGAAAGTGTCTGACTACCCGAACGTCTTCCACATGAGCAAAAGTCTCCTCAGTCACCACTACATGAGCAAAGTAGCCTTAACAACCATTCATTACCAGCCGTTTCGCCCTCATGGTAGAGATAACTCTGTGTTTTAGACCACTACATTCACCGACAAAAGTTACCATAGGAATGCCCAGTCGATGGAAAGTAACAATTTTCTGGTGGCAATTCAACATGGCATGATTGTAATCTAACCAATCCATGCCCAAGATAACATCGAAATCAACGATGTCCAAGGGAACAAGATTAGCTGGCATTACGACATCCTCAATAAGAATGGGACATCCTTGATACTCCTAACTAACATAACAAGTTTCACCCCTAGGCATTGAGAACTCCAACTCATAACCGAAGAGAGTGGGGTGAGGTTGAGTTTTTTGAGAAAACATATGGGAAATAACTAAATGGGTAGCACCCGGGTCAATTAAAATTCTAGCAAGATGGCCAAGAACATTCAACGTACCCATGATCAAGTCGGGTTTACCCTGAGCATCCTGCAAGGTAATGTTGTTAATGAGACCCTGTACCTGCTGTCTGTATCCATGACCCCTGTTTCCCTCATTGCCGTGTCCCTGATTACCTCGACCTTGGTTGGTTTGATTAATCTGCCTAGATGAAATGCCACTGCTAGAAGATACATCAAGATTCTATTATTGTTCTCTAGTATACCACTGAGCTTTGCCGCCTTGATACAGTGTATAACCCCATGGTACTGCGAATAGCCGCCCTGGTAGTATAGGACATCAGGTGGGTACTGATACGCTCCTCCTGGATATTGGGATATGTCGTCCTGGTAATGAAACGCACCACCATAAGAAGTCTGCTGATAGGTACCAGAACCTAGAATCTGCTGTAGAGGAACTACAGGTGGTAGAGTATGAGGTTGAGGTTTCTGATTCTGAAGGCATTGAGTAGCTCTGTGCCCCATCTAATCGTATGTGTAGCATCCATTACTTCCCCTCTTACATTCACCATAATGTCAACTATTGCACTTGTGGCAGAACTAAGCACCATAATTTCTAGGGTTTCTTTGACTTTGAAAGTGTAAGTTACCAATAAACTTGCCACCTCTTCGCGGCATATTGGAACTTGAACCACCGCTCGACAATCCAGAATTATTACCGCTTTTCTTGAAATTATGAGTCTTTCGAAGACTAAAGGATGACTGCCCTCTGTTATTATTCTTCTGAGTATTATTGTTATCTTCTTCTTCATCGTCATCATCAAGAGCATTCTCGGAATCTTTAACACGAAGCAGAACCTCAAAGAATTCTTGGTAGGTAGACCATGGAGTAGAAGTCGCAAAAGAACGCAGTCACTTACTAGTCCCCTTCTTAAAATAACAGAGCATCTCAGGACAATAACGGGATAAGTCAATGAACTTTCGATGGTACTCTGTGGCTGAAATTTTACCTTGCTTTAACTCTGTGAATTCATCTATCTTTCGATCCTTGTATTCCGGGATGAAAAAACCAAGTCGCTGTCTCAACCCATCTCTCCGCTGGAAGATTCTCATGTCGCTGCATAACGCGAAAAGTCTTTTCAAAATTATCGATCCAAACCTTGGATTTCTCGAGTCCCTCATTGCCGAAGAAATTATTTATCTGCAGATGGGATACAATCTCTAAGGTAGTCCTTTGGGGTAGGCAAAGTGTGGACTGAATGGCACTGGCGATAGCCTCACCGAGTTGCCTAAAATTAGAAAAATTAGTTCAGAAGGGACATGTGGCGATCTATGAGGTGGAATGATTCTGACATAAGAGATCAAAAATAATTTAGGACTTATAACACATATGAGGAATGCAGGATTGCCAAACCTATGATCTGATACCAAACTAACACACCTCGACCGGAGTCGAGGCATGCTGGCCGTCAACCGAATGTGACATAACCAAAAAGGAAAGTGAAGTACAAAAATATGGGTAAATTTAAACCAAAACTAACAATTATTTAATCTAAAGTAGCGAGTGCGCAATAATGGGAAGAACCCACCCATAAAACATAAATGTTCAGAGCATAAATGAAATAAAAGTGTGGAGTCGAAACTAGTTAAAATGCTTAACACACAACCAGGAAAAGCCCCCGCATTTAATTATGGATATGTCAGAACCACCGGAGATTCCTCGTATGCCACAGAGAATTCAGTTATCTAAGACCTGGAGGGGCGAAAAAGAGAAGGGTGGGTGGGCAACAACAAAGGTTTATAAAACACATTTATTTTCCAAACATACGAACCCCTCGCCGTAAATCATGTATAGTTTCCAGAAAATCATATTATGTATAAGTTTGAAATCAAATGCAAATCAACAGTAAATCCAAAAATAAGCCAAAATCACAATATCTCAACAGTAACATAATAAAATCATGTGATCATCAATCTATGCTAACACACGAGTTCATGCAAAGGGAATCTGAAATGAACAGGACTAGGTGTAATAATAATATATGCTCTAGTACTACAATCACGTGAAGACTGGCGCTAAGCGCATCACATATGAGTTGGATTTGCCTATTGCAACCTGTATAACAGGACTAACACCTACAACGGATCCAAGGTGAGAGTGCGGTGCGATGTGAACATACACGTGAAGCCTGGCCCTGGCCTAGGGCGCGAGTACTACACAGGTGCAAGCATGTATGATGAGCAAGTATAATGTATACGAATATGCCATGAACTAATTTTTCTAATTTTAGGCAACTCGGTGAGGCTATCGCCAGTGCCATTCAGTCCACACTTTGCCTACCCCAAAGGACTACCTTAGATATTGTATCCCATCTGCAGATAAATAATTTCTTCGGCAATGAGGGACTCGAGAAATCCAAGGTTTGGATCGATAATTTTGAAAAGACTTTTCGCGTTATGCAGCGACATGAGAATCTTCCAGCGGAGAGATGGGTTGAGACAGCGACTTGGTTTTTTCATCCCGGAATACAAGGATCGAAAGATAGATGAATTCACAGAGTTAAAGCAAGGTAAAATTTCAGCCACAGAGTACCATCGAAAGTTCATTGACTTATCCCGTTATTATCCTGAGATGCTCTGTTATTTTAAGAAGGGGACTAGTAAGTGACTGCGTTCTTTTGCGACTTCTACTCCATGGTCTACCTACCAAGAATTCTTTGAGGTTCTGCTTCGTGTTAAAGATTCCGAGAATGCTCTTGATGATGACGATGAAGAAGAAGATAACAATAATACTCAGAAGAATAATAACAGAGGGCAGTCATCCTTTAGTCTTCGAAAGACTCATAATTTCAAGAAAAGCGGTAATAATTCTGGATTGTCGAGCGGTGGTTCAAGTTCCAATATGCCGCGAAGAGGTGGCAAGTTTATTGGTAACTTACACTTTCAAAGTCAAAGAAACCCTAGAAATTATGGTGCTTAGTTCTGCCACAATTGAGGTACAAAACCTCCTCATTCATTTGTGGGATAGGGTCCAGGTATTGCTTCAAACGATGGTCATTCACCTTAAATGTCAAACCACTCTTCATATCTTGAATTTCCACAACACTATGGGGATACGCTTGCACAACGAGATAAGGTCCAGTCCATCTAGATCGAAGCCTAGTGGGAAATAACGTGAACCTTGACTTTTTCCACAAAACCTTTTGGTTTGATTCAAAATATTTCCGAGGTAAAGCTTTGTCAGGAGCAACATAAAACTTCTCTTTCATTCGATCCACAACATCAATCTGAAAACAATCATGAGGATCCAAAGGACTCTTCAAAGCTTCAAAGATCTGAAATTTTACGGTAACGTCCTGCACAGTCATGGTTAGTAAACCAGCTTTTACATCAATTTTAGTACCTGCAGTAGCCATGAAAGGTCTACCAAGAATGAGAGGTAACTCATTGCCTGGAATTTCAGCTTCTTCCATGTCCAAAACAATGAAGTCAGCAGGAAGAATGAATTGATCAACCTTGACAAGTACATCTTCAATAATGCCCCTTGGATATTTCACAGAACGATCTGCAAGTTGTAAAGACATGGAACAATGTTTTAACTCCCCCAAACTTAGATGTTTGTACGCAGAATAAGGCATAAGATTGACACTTGCTCCCAAGTCAAGTAAGGCTCGTTCAAATTTTCTTTCTCCAATAATGCACGGAACTGTAAAGCTTCCTGGATCCTTGAGTTTTGGTGGCAATTTTCGTTGAAGCACTGCACTTACCGTTTCTGATAACATCACCTCTTCATATTTTCCATACTTTCGCTTGTGAGTACACAGTTCTTTCAAGAATTTTGCATATGATGGAATTTCTTTGATGGCTTCAAGCAATGGAATGTTGATTTGAACTTTCTTGAATTGGTCCAATATATGCCCCGAGTACTGATCTTTTCTTCCCTTCTTTGCACGCTGAGGGAATGGTAGAGGAGGATCATACACCACATCCTTAAGCATTGGATCAAATAAAGTTCTTTTCGGCTCAGATAGTGGCTGTTTTGAACTCTTAAAATAATGATTTTGCTGCTGGTCATTCATATCCGTTCCCCTCTCCTTCTCCTTTTCAACTTTCTCATGCATCTCTACTTTGTTGTCGATCATCTTCCCACTTCTCAAGGTTGTAATGGCCATCACATGCTCATTATTTCTTGGATTAATTTCTGTTTGGCTTGGAAATTGCCCTTGTGCTCGCTCCAATTTGTTCAAAGTAGTAGCTATTTGTCCCAATTGAATCTCAAAATTAGATTGAGCCTTTTCCAACACCGTCTGACTTTGTCTAAGCGATACAACTTCCTGTTCATACCGATCGGTTTTCTTTAAGAGTTGAGATAGCATGTCCTTGATAGAAGGGTCTTCTTGTTGAATTGGAGGAGCTTGATAAGGCTGCTGATATTGCTTTGTTGAATTGGATGGTCCCATGCTATTTTGGGAATCTCTCCAAGAAAAATTCGGGTGTTCTCTCCATCCCGGGTTATAATTATTTGAGTACGGATCATTTCGGGGCCTCCCACTAAATGCTTTGACCTCATGCATGCCTTCTAGATTAGGATTTGCTGGACAATGTTCCATGTCATGGGCGATGCTTGCACATAAGCTACATGGCTGCGTGGCTATCTTGCTTACTAGTGGTGTGAGAAGCTTCGTGAGAGCTGCTACTTGTGCCTCTAAACCCGTCCTTGTATCAACTTCATAAATGCCTCCTCTTTTTGTTGACGATGCAGTTGGAACTCTCGAATCTTTTGTAGGAAAATCCCAATGCTCAGAATTTTCACATATAGTTTCAAAGGCATGAATGGCATCTTCTGGAGTTTTGTCCATCAAGGTTCCACCAACTGTTGAATCAACCAAACTCCTACATTGAGAGTTCAAACCTTTGTAAAAATAATGAACCTTTTGCCAAGTGTTGAAACCATGATGAGGACATTGAAGAAACAAGTCCTTATATCGCTCCCAACTTTCATGAAACTGTTCACCTTCTTGTTGCCGAAAGCTCATGATTTCATTGATCAGAGCATTGGTTCTTCGAGCGGGGAAGAACTTGGACAAAAACTTCTTGGATAATTCTGTCCATGTGTCGATAGATGCTTCGGGAAGAGAATCCAACCAACTGCTTGCTTTATCCCTCAAAGAGAATGGGAATAACCGAAGTCGAATTTGCTCTTCAGTAACATTGGTGAATGTGAATGTGGAACATAGCTTGAAAAACGCCTTGATATGATGGTATGGATTTTCTTCCTCCTTCCCAAGAAATATAGGCAGCAACTGAAAGATTTGTGGACGAATCTCAAATCGCTGCGCAATTGGAGCCAAAACAATGCATGACGGTGCGTTGTACTCCGTTGGCTTTGTATAATCACGCATGAGCCTTGGTTGTGGTGGTGGCAATGGTGGAGGATTATCTCTACCATTATTGACTTCCCCCATGGCTGGTTCTTGAAACACTTGCTGCCTCCGCTGTTCTCTTAAAGTACTCTCAAGTTCTTGGTCTATATGAATCAACTCAAATTGCAACGAACGTCTACCTTGCATATACGACCAGACTGTGCTCCTTGTTTGACCACTGCTCAGTATTTTGTAAATTTCTTGCAGCTCAAAAATCCAATCATTGATCTGTTTGTTGGGTTGAAAACTAGACTTCTGGGGCTTTCCAACGATATACAATATGCCTGGTAAAAAATCGAATAGTTTAGTCCAAAACTGTGTCGAAACAGTGATACAGAAACTGAAATAAAACAGTGACGAAAATTACTTTTACTTATCTTAATAGTTATGACTCTTACTCGAAACTAGAGAACAAAACAAAATCAAATTGAATAATCTACAATAACTACTTATTAGATATGAAATAAAATATCAAATTGGGGGACTCAATTAGAGTCCCCGGCAACGGCGCCAAAAACTTGGTGTAAACTTGCAAGTGCACAAGATAGTCGTAATATAGCGTGTTGCAAGTCCAAGTATCGTTCCCACGAGGATTCTAATTAAATCTCCAATTTGATAAACTAAACCAAATCTAATAATATTAATGACACACAACCCCAAACAACGAACTAGACTCGATCTTAATTAATAAATCAATCAAGGATGTAAAGAATTTGTTGTGATGATTTTATAAATGAACAAAAACAGAACCTTAAGTAAAAACTGAAATCAAAGAAAAGAAAATGTTGTGTTTTAAGGCAAGTGATGAAAAGTCTAGGGATTCGGAATCAACCACAAGCAATCTAATTTAGGTTTCAATGCATTCAATGGATCTTTCAATTCTTTAGATGATAATTCCCGTATCTAAGTCCTTGTCAGGCACATTAGACCATAGTTTTCCTTAAGTGAATGATTCTCTCCTAGTTCAGGCAGAGGTCGTATATCCTAACATGCAGTCTATCCTGGTTAAGGCATAAATTTAACAAGTAGGACTCTTTACGCTCTAGAAAACAAGGGAACCAAGCAAACCATTATTCTTTGTCAAGCAATAATGTAATTTACCACACTTAACCACAAGAAGCTAATTGAATTATATTGCTAGTTCAGCCTCAAATTCATCTTCCAATCTTACTAGATGCAAAGTCCTAAGGTGATCAATCAAAGAACTCAAACAAACAGTAACAGTTCAAACAGTGATTAAGCATTCATCTAAAAGAAACTAGAAATCCAATGAATAACATTAAAAACCATAGACATTCATGCTAGGGCATCATCCTAACCCTAGAAAAAGAGTTTAGTTACTCATAAAATAAGAAAACATAATTAAAAGTATTAAAAAACATGAAAACTTACACGATGATGATGGATTGCCCAGGTGATCGGCGACTCTGTTTCACTCCTTGCTGCGACTTCTTCTCTGCACCTTCGAAAACCCCCAAAAAAACCCAAAAACTCTCTCTGTCCGCCTTCCTACAATCCCCGGTCTCCCTTTTTTTTTCCTGAATAAATTGCTAGCATCTTACTTGAATGGGACTCTTGAATTTATCTTCCTGACTTGGATTAGTTCGTTGATGATGTGGCACACTAAGTTTCCCAAGTAAATTATTAGCTAGCACCGTTTAGAAATAGTCTTTAACTCTTCTAAAACGCTTCCTTTTTTTTTTACTCTGGGCTTGTTTCGACTGAATTATGACTTTGTAAAAACCTGAACAGATCTCTTTGCAATTTCCCGCGTAAAATCTTGGCTGACGGACGTCCGGTACAAAACCCACTATAACATCTTCTAGGAAACTCGAAATCACGAGTCCGTAAAATTCCTCTGAAAGCTAACATTTCATATCTTTCCAATGGTATAAGGCTCAACAGCTGGTTCATTCTGAGGAAGTACAGTTTATTCCGTCAAGTTGGCTGATCTGCACAAACAGCTTCTGCTTCCAGGCATGCACAACTCACTTCAATCGCCAAAATGCTCATTTTTCTTCTTTCTTCATCTTCACTCTTCAAATCTAAGAAAAACATAAAACTAAGTGAAACAAACTAAATTCACTCAAAAACATAACAAGAATCAAAACTAAAGGGCGTTAAAATGTATGCAATATTGGTCGTATCAAAATGCTAAGCAAAGAATCTCCATTCCAAATCTCCATAGTGTCACAACAAAGATCAACAATTTTTTGTGAAGAGTTACAAGCATTTCTAGTGAAGATAAGTATCAAATACGATCATACTACAACTATAAAGCAAATAAACATAACACACCAAGAAAGTTTGGATAGTCCATTCAGACTAGTTATTAGTCTGAGGGAAATATATAATCAACTACAATTTACTACACGTGGCCTTCAAAAAGGCTTCCCAAACACTTGTAAACATGCATCTCGATAAGATATAATAGTGCCATACATGTTATGTAGTCGAGCTAACATAGTCTGCAACACTTTAGCAAGCAAATTCATAATGAAGTTCCTTCGAACTTAGTGAGAAAGTGACTACGTCGAGAAGGCTAGAAGAATACTCGAGAATTTGAGGATTAAAGTAAGTCCATCAAATTTAGAATAAGAGATAACTGGACTGGATGCATAACTCAAACTACGACAATAGCTTTCGAGATATTAGATCACCACAGTAAGATTTGTTTAACTGAGCATTTGCTGGGTGATTAAGTAATTAATGGTTACGACTGCACTTTCAACGTCAATGGTTCTTTTAGACAGTGCTTCCACTTTAAGGCAATACAAAGTGTAGTAGGGTAGACACGTACCCAAGGTTAACTAGAAGACCTTCCAGCACCAAGAAGTGAAAATGTTGTCCTTTTGAACCAACGGAAAGCGAATTGACTTGTCACATCAATCGACAATCATCATACATCACCAAAATCCCTACAGAGAAGTGTCATCTAGCTTCTGAAATAAGATGATGACTGTTGACTTTAGGTCATGAATAAGATGGTTCGTTTCAAACGGTTCTAACCGTTGGAAAATAAAAGCAATACTCCGCCATGTTGCCTCTGCCCAGTCGAAACATCCAAAGATCACGTCACACTGAATTTTGAAATGATCAGAGTCAACAAAAGGTGTAAAATAGGGGTAAGATAAGACAACACTTCAGTTGTCAGAAACTTTAATCATTTCCAACAACCCACTCTAATTTAACTTTCCTCGGTCATAAGTGAGGAAAACACTGTAGCCGAAAGGTTTAAGGTTCCTACGATAAAGTTTCTAGTCCTTGGTTGGGTAAATTCCTAATTGGTAAACTTTATAACTAAGTTTCTCAATGACGTTAGAAATGTTTGATATGATGCAAGGAAATTGGTGTAATACTAGGAAGTGGGTCAATGATGTACATCACTTAACAATTTGGTGGTATCCCGGTAAGATTGGGATACGACCAAAAGTATACATCCTCGAAACGTACAATACTACTAACCAACTCTACGACACGAACTAAAAGGTCCACACAGTTTCCTCGACACTTAAATCACTCTAATAGTGAGATATTATCCCATAATTCAATTCTACTATCTACCTATGGAAGTGATTGAAAGGTGGCTAGTCGAAGAGGGTTCGTTTACCTAGGTAGGTGATAAGGTAAAAACAACCATGAGTTAACTATTCTAATACAAAGTTTGTTCCTAAGCTTCCACGATCCTAGTTTATTCGACTCAAGCAAAGTAGTTCATTGATCCTAGGAGGATTTGATGACTGCTTTTTGGATTTCTAATACTCTCAGGATATGACAACTTACACTCGCAAGCCTATTCTCACCCATTTAATAAGTATAACTATAAAAGCAAAATCTGGGAATTAGCGTTGGTCGAAAAATTACAAGGTTGGAAAAAAAAAACTTGCTAAAGATCTACTTTCAAAAAGGACTTTATTGAGAGTCGATCTTCCTCCTAAAGATCCAGCATGAACACAAGTATGTTTGAAGATATTAGTGTTAACAGGGACCAAAAGTAATTATCCCTCATATGATCTTCCGTGAAATGCTACCAAGAAATCAAGACTAGTTGAGACTTCCAATCTCAAAAGGATCAATACTAACGGCAGAAGAATAATGATAGAATTATTTGGTAAAATCTCAGGTGATACACGATTATCAATACATTAACTTAGGCTATTAACTTGCCTCAAATCTACACATTTCCTCCACAAGGAAAATCTTCGTTTTAATTCGAAGGACATTGCCAAAATGATCTTCTAAAATGTCGTGAAGACAACATAACTTTCCAAAACTTAGGAAAAGCTAGCATATTTTTCCGTATTCGACAAGGTGGCAAGATTTGAACCTTAGACAAGAACCAAGAATGCTTACATCACGCGTGTGATGGACGCAATACTGCCCAAACTTATGCTATGATACCAAACTGACACACCCCGACCTAGAAAGTCTACTTGGACTTGATAGGAGCATATTTATGCGACTTAGTTAGCTTGTTCTTGTACATTTATGTCGTGTCTCTTTAGTTATTTTAGTGTTTAAAGTTATTTTCGTGTGTTTTCAGATTTTAAGGACAAAGTAGGCAAGAAGATGCATTTTGGAGCATTTTGGAGCAAAATGGAGCTTGGAATGCATGTCACATATTTGGAACCAAGGTTTGGACGAAATTGAAGAATTAAAGAGGCTAAGAATGTGAAGAATTAATGTACAAAGGATCAAGAATTCAGCCACAAAAGAACACCCACTCCTTGCCGTGTAACCACATAGCATTCCCTTTGGATTCCCATGCATGCTTAATCATCCTTGTCCCCTAAAATATTTCTGAATTCATGCCTCAATTCACTCAATTATCACACTCAATTGCTGCATACCTCTTGTTCCCTTCACCCATCAGATTTCACACAACTTTCACAACCATTCCATGCACCAATTGATGCTCCATCATCCACATTTAGGATCCAATGCTGTGTGCAACACATGTTGCTGCACCTTTGACTAATTTCTGAAACATTTCACCTCCCCTTTTCATTTCCATGCAATGAACACAATCATTCATGCTCCCTAGCTGAAAATACCACTCCATTTTTACCCTCCATACTTTGCATCATTGCTCCATTTTTCATCCTTGGACCATTGCACACCACAAATTCACCCTCCTTGCTGTGCAT